TGCATTCATAGGGCTGCTCTCAAAGTGGCCCTTGGATGATGTTAGACAAGAGTTTTGTACTGGTGACTATTATAGCTGAGATCTAAAGGCTTTGTGGGAAATATTCATTCCGAGACTGTGATCAGTTTTTAGGTAATATGACAAAACAAATCTCCACATACTTGTTAAATATCTCATATTGGAACTTTGGTACGTCATTTTCTGGCAATATTCTGATGATTAGTTATGAATGTTGGCCGAATTCATACATATACATATTTATGTATTTATTAAGTTTCTTAGTCACGAAAAATGAGAAAGGAAGCAAAATTTAGAGAGGAAAACAATATACACTCTTCAAAAAAAGAAACGCACAGGTAGATTTTTAGTAAATTTATTTAACCTAATAAAATAGATATATTTAATTTAATATCATAGATACAAATATGAAATTTTGGAGCTCGATATTCACATGTTGTCATTGTACAAGGGCTTTGAAAACTGTTCTTTGTCATGTCACATAAGGCCACAAGGTGGCGCTGAACTCAGTATCTCATGTGACCGCCCCAGGCAGCAAGCACGGCTCTGCATCTCCTCGGCACTGACTGGATAAGTGTGCGAATTCTGTCCTGTCCTGCGCCATTCTGTGCCATTCTGCGCCATTCTGCTTGTAATGCGTTGGCCAGTTGTGGGAGTGTCTGCGGCGTGTTCTGACGTTGATGTACACATCGATCGAGTTCATCCCAGACGTGTTTGATTGGGTTGAGATCTGGAGACCCCGATGGCCAGGGCAAGTCGTTGATGTTGGCATTATGAAGGTAGTCTGCTGTGACACGAGCTGTTTGTGGTTCAGTATTGTCCTGTTGAAACAGCTCTCTCTGGTGGTCAATGATTGGAAGAAGGTGAGGTTGAAGAATTTGAGAAGATGGTTCCTGACAGTCTGGTCCGATACCCTCCTCAAACCAGGACTGTGTCCTGCAGTTTCCGTAGCTGTGGCATTGCGATAACGTAGGTGGAACAGTCTAATGTAGAGATCCTGTGCAGGGGTGGTAACTCTTGATCAGCCAGTTCTTGGACGGTCTGCAGTCGAATTGAACTGTGTGTATCAGTCACAAAGGTGGCAAATGGTGCTGTGGTGGACGTTGAAGTGGCGTGCATTTCCCCTCTTTGGATACATCCTATGGCAATGTTCTGACATTTTTTAACTTGAAAAATGTTGACAATTGAATGACAAATTATTGGCTTTTGCTTGCCTTTTTATAGCCACTACCACGAGTTATGAATGCCATAACTTTGCGCATACATTTTGATTTACTGTTTTCTTCCATGACATTTCTGAATAAGTGTGAAAACAATGTCGTTTAAGACAATTGACAATGGCCACGTTTGGATGCACCGTTTGTCGAATATCAAGCTACCAACATTTTCCAATAACATATATCCAATTTATATACCTGATTTTTTGTGTAGTCAGGTTCAATGAACTACATACTACCTGTCGGTTTCTCTTTTTGAAGAGTGTAAGGGTTGGTTTCATGTCCGCCTCTGTGGGTCTTTCTTTCAGTCTTTTTGTGTGTCTCTATTTCTTGGTCTCTTTGTCTCTATCTCAGTAAATTAGTCTCCGTGTCTCAGTCTGGTGAGACAATGCTGGTGGTCATTTCCTGCCTCAGTTTGACCCAGAACTCCTGTGCATTGGTGAGGTGGTGAGGTGAAATGGGGTTTAACGTCGCGTCCAAGATTATTCCACTTATATAGCGACCTGCATGCATGTGTGTGTTTGTGTGGCTGCTTGTACTAGTCTGGACTGATGCCGATTTATAGTGCTAGCTCACTGAGATACCATGCCGCAGTTTAACATGAATACCCCACTCAGACACAGTATACTGACTCCGAGCCGACCAGTCCTTGTTTTATCCCCTTAATGCTGAGCGCCAGACAGGGTAACAACAAGTACCATCTTTTAACGTCTTTTGGTATGACGCGGCCGGGGATCGAACCCCGGGCCGACGCTCTACCACTAGACCACGGAGGCTGTCCCTGTGCATTGGGACTGGTACCTGGGGAACTGTTCTTGTGAATCTTTACAGGTTGATTGGCTTCTCTGTGTCATTTACTTGTGACACACTTAGTGATGATAATGTTTTAGTGAATGTCCCATTGCTGACACACAGTATTATATTTGAAATACTGGTTGGAGTGTTGCTCACTCTATGATATGTGTCAATAATATAGGGTAACGAATATGAATATTTATTCATGAATACACTAACAGGTCATCATTTGATGTATTGTTTATCATATTCAGTGAAACAATAATAAAATAAATTATTTGACATGGTTGGACCATGTTGACAGTGTTACTGATTTATAAAAATATTATACATTTATATACTGCACTCACTCACTCAACATCACCTCACTCACTCACTCACTCACTCACTCACTCACTCACTCTATAACTCACTCACTCACTTTCCAGAGAACTTTGTGTCTCTTCACCCTGATCATGGGTGTTTCACCATATAAAAACTACTGCTGATAATGTACCTCCTCCATTCGTCTGATGTGTCCTTTTTTTGTCAACAAAACCAACCAATGGTAGTAGTATTTTGTTCTCATTTTTGAGGATGTCTACAATTTTCACAAAGTTTTGTAAGACGAGAGGAGTATGTTTTAGAAACTTAAAAGGAATTTGGATTTCTTTTCCTACATGGAACTTGGACACTGCTCTGTAATTTCCTGTTTTCACATTGAACTCTTTGAGGTTTCAGAGTCAATGAGCTGATTCAGAGTAGGTGTTTGCTTGTAAAGGACATGGGGGCAGCAGTCTGAAGTCTCATTATTATCCAAATAGGACATTTCTGTGCTGACCAAATTACAATCGCTTGACATCCGTTTGGAGACAATTATCCCATGCACAAAGGTAAATGTTAGGTGGTGCCAGTGGACAGTGATGAATGCCACACAAGACAGTGTCTGTGACTAGGTACTTGGAGAACATCTGTTCTAATTTGCAGGAATTGTTGTACTTGGAAATAATGTTGTTTTTTGCCAGTGAAATGAGAGGCAGATTGTATTATTCTGTTTTCTTGTCTGGGGTTCAATTCTGCAAGACTATTTACCATGACATTAGGTTTGGGCGATGTGTATTTTTAATATATATTCTATTTGTTTTATGTGTAGGATAAAACATGACAGTGGTCAGGGTCAGGAATGTAAATTCCAGGGAAGATGGACAAGGGAAAGTAAGACCTGAATGTAAAGTTTGAGGTTTTATTCTTGATTATCAAAAGGATAACTGAAAAATAAAATGTTTTATTTAGCTCGCAACCATGATCAAATATGACAGAACATATTGAGAAAATGTGTCATATACTGAACAAAATCAAATACAAAAGTTACATAGTTTGTCCCCTAGACAGTAGTAGACTCATCCTAGTCACTCTTGCAACTCAAGTTTCTCGTAACCAAATTGAGATGAGCAGCTATTTCTTTAAAACAAATTCATGATTTCTTTCTTCTTGCTTTTTAAATGCTTCAGATATGATAGCACAGTATGATAAAAACAAATGTATTTTGTAACAAACCTTTCCTGAGTATGACTTCAATATCATTCCGCAAGGCCTCAATGGCTGAATTGGTAGTGAGCTTGCTTGATAATGAAATACCATGAAGTATACAGGAAGGTTTCATATCTTTATAAGGTTAATGCAGGTACTATATTACTGCTAGAGGTTTGTAAAGACCTGACCGCCTTTTTGGTCTTGTGGTAGAGCATCTTCCCGGAGAGCAGAAGGTCTGGGTTTGATTGGATTTGTGCATGTCTGAGTGGGGAATTCATGTTAAACTGCAGCATGGTATCTCAGTGGAATAGCACTATAAAATCAGCATTAGTCCAGAATACTGCACCCACACTCCCACACCCACACCCACACCCACACCCACACCAACACATGCACACTCACGCAGGCACGCACGCACGCACGCATGCACGCATGCACACACGTACGCATACATGCACGCACGCACACAGATTGTTATAATGCTTATAAATACTGACTTAAGCAAACTTACAGGTTATTATGAAGTTTGTAAAAACCCACAGTGTCTAGACCTTGACTTTATTCTTGGACATGTCAACAAGAATAACTTCAAAGGCTGCTTTTTGAATCATCGATATTAAAAATATGTAGTCAGTGATACGAAACCAGTGACAACGATCATAACAATAACATAACACAAGCCCCACCCCCTCTGTTGTCAGCCATTCAAGAATTGGTAGTCCATTAGTGTGCATCTGGCCTAATTGCTTCTGGGTTTATAGAAACATAAACATAAAAAGATTTGCTTGCTTAGCCAATCAAATGCCAGGGAACCACTTAAAGTTATTTATGTAGAAATAATGTCATGCGTGGGAGGATTATGGTGAAGATTACTGTCAAGGGTTAGTGCCTTGCAACATAGATGTTCAAAATGATGACAAAGCCATGCCACGATGCCTTCCCCAAGCAGATTACTTGGGAGCTCGAGGTTCAGGTTGTGGAGGAGTGAGAGTTGTTTTCTTCCCATTATTGTCTGATTACGAAATATGACCTATTTCTGAATGGATACCCATGTGTTGTGTCCATTCATTCAATGTGTATTTTGTATTCAGAGAAATAATAAAGTAATGATTGACAGTATTAATATCTTCTATTTTTGTATTATTAGTCTATCCATTCTGTGGATAGTGCACATAGCATCAGTCTCAACCGTTGATGTTTTAACTTCTCACTGATATATTGCCATCCTGCAATGATCTATTGCGATGCATCAATGTTTTAATCGATTGATACTCTCCTAGATGGCTCAAATTAGTACATTAGGATGATCTGAAATAGGCATGAGACGTAGGAGCATTGTGCATCTTTGATGTGACCATATGATGTCTTTGAAAATGGAAATTTTGCAAGATGACTGTGTTTTAAATAACAATGTTTTGTGCTTGATATTGATGTTTCTGTATTTGTTTTCTTATTCAGACAGATGAGGATCTCAATCAAAAAGAAAATGTGACATTACCATCTCGAATATGTCCCGGCCACGAGAGGGCATTGCCGATTGACAGAACGGTCACTGATCTGGATATTCGAGAGGAAGGTTAGTCTTGTTTAGAACTGATTTCAGGTAATTACTGGGGCACACGTGGCCAAGTGGTCTAAGGCACAACAATATGTATCAGAGTTATGTCCCCTTATTCATGCCAGGATCAGCTGCCAGTAGGTTCAAATACCAGATTCAGCTGAGTCACTTTGTATTCCCTCACACATCCCTTGCTCCTGGTCAGTTTTCATAAGAACAGGCCCAAAAGCCCAGGCCTATCACCAACTTGTCTTTGTGCTGTGACTTAGGTAACTCCTATGCTTTATGAGGTTATTTTCTGAACCGAAGACCAGATCATTAAAATAGGTGATCATATTAAATAAATTATTCATCATATCTTCATTCTCACATTTAAAAAAGTCTGCCTCCTATAAGAATTGTTTACAACCTGTTAGATGTTCTTGGAACAAGCTAAAATGGGCAGTTGATTGTGAGATACAAACAAGGCTCTACTTCTTCATGTGAATACAATGGCCATGTATTGCATCTTCTTTTGATTGGTTGGTTGGTTTGTTGGTTGTTGGTTTTGTTGTTTTACGCCGCACTCAGCAATATTCCAGCTATATGATGTCAGTCTGTAAATAATCAAATCTGGACCAGACAATCCAGTGATTAATATCATGAGCATCGATCCAAACAAATTGGGATCGATGACATGCATCAACAAAGTCAGCGAGCCTGACAACCCGATCCTGTTAGTTACCTCTTACGACAACCATTGTCACCTTTTACGGCAAGCATGGGTTGCTGAAGACCTATATTCTACCCCGGACCTTCACGGGCCTGATCTTCTTTTGAAGCCATAGAAACTTTTGCACACATTGTCATCAAAGTTAGCTGCACATCCTTTTTGCATTCTAGGTAGTCTATCTCACAGTCCTTGAACCATATTATTTCCCCTTCTGCCCAGCCCTTACTATAATGCTTTTGTCCTAAATGAAGCAAGTCTAGATTTTCCACAGGTTCAGATTCTGAGTCTTCCATCTCAATGGGGGCTCCTTTTCACTTAAAAAGTGCTTGTTTCTTTGAAAAATATGTGTTTTCAAAGACGAAGTGTTAGTCTACAATCTAGGTGACTCTATGGCATCTGTAAAACTGAGGCATTATCTCTGTGTGTGTAGGGGCATTAGTTGCTTGCTTGATATACATCATGACAAATCAGACAGACAAAGAAAGTTTTGAAAAGCTTGAATGAAACTTGGTCCGAACAAAGTGCCCTTAATTGCTATCAATTTTGGGTTGGAATAGGTCCCCAATAATCTGGGGGATTAATCAGTCTCAGTGACTTGATTGATTGTGTGACATTGAGCCTGCCGACTACGTGGTGCACTGATTATGATATCAATCAATTGGTATCGGGTCCTGATTATTTACAGACTGTCTTCATTTATCTGGAACATTGCGGAGTAAGAGATAAAACAACAAATAAGCCATAATCTTGAGGAGTCAATGTCTGTGTTGATCCATTATGTATTTCTAAATTAATATTTTCAATGAAACAGACTCAATGATTTACAGGATGTCATCATGGCATTAAACAACAAACAAACAGGAAAATATTTTAACGGAAGTGTAGTGAAGGCCGAAGACTTTGTTCAGTTTTGAATAAAACCTATTCCATTCACTCACTCACCCTGATCTTGCCGTGCAGGAATTGGCACCCTGCTGTGCTACCTTGAGCTGGTCCCCGAGAACTGTCTGGAGAACCTACAGCCGGTGTATGCCACGTGTAAGGTTCTGTGTTACGGAGGCCCACCACAGCTGCAGGCTGTGTCCAAGAAGGTGAGTACAGCAGCATGCAGATACCTACCTTACAGCAGCTTGCAGATACCTACCTTACATCAGCATGCAGATACCTACCTTACAGCAGCATGCAGATACCTACCTTACATCAGCATGCAGATACCTACCTTACAGCAGCATGCAGATACCTACCTTACAGCAGCATGCAGATACCTACCTTACAGCAGCATGCAGATACCTACCTTACATCAGCATGCAGATACCTACCTTACAGCAGCATGCAGATACCTACCTTACATCAGCATGCAGATACCTACCTTACAGCAGCATGCAGATACCTACCTTACAGCAGCATGCAGATACCTACCTTACAGCAGCATGCAGATACCTACCTTACAGCAGCATGCAGATACCTACCTTACAGCAGCATGCAGATACCTACCTTACATCAGCATGCAGATACCTACCTTACAGCAGCATGCAGATACCACCTTACAGCAGCATGCAGATACCTACCTTACAGCAGCATGCAGATACCACCTTACAGCAGCATGCAGATACCACCTTACAGCAGCATGCAGATACCACCTTACAGCAGCATGCAGATACCTACCTTACAGCAGCTTGCAGATACCTACCTTACAGCAGCATGCAGATACCACCTTACAGCAGCATGCAGATACCACCTTACAGCAGCATGCAGATACCTACCTTACAGCAGCTTGCAGATACCTACCTTACAGCAGCATGCAGATACCTACCTTACAGCAGCATGCAGATACCACCTTACAGCAGCATGCAGATACCTACCTTACAGCAGCATGCAGATACCTACCTTACAGCAGCATGCAGATACCACCTTACAGCAGCATGCAGATACCACCTTACAGCAGCATGCAGATACCTACCTTACAGCAGCATGCAGATACCTACCTTACAGAGGGACCATGCAGATACCACCTTACAGCAGCATGCAGATACCACCTTACAGCAGCATGCAGATACCACCTTACAGCAGCATGCAGATACCTACCTTACAGCAGCATGCAGATACCTACCTTACAGCAGCATGCAGATACCTACCTACCTTACAGCAGCATGCAGATACCTACCTTACAGCAGCATGCAGATACCTACCTTACAGCAGCATGCAGATACCTACCTTACAGCAGCATGCAGATACCTACCTTACAGCAGCATGCAGATACCTACCTTACAGCAGCATGCAGATACCTACCTTACAGCAGCATGCAGATACCTACCTTACATCAGCATGCAGATACCTACCTTACAGCAGCATGCAGATACCTACCTTACAGCAGCATGCAGATACCTACCTTACAGCAGCATGCAGATACCTACCTTACATCAGCATGCAGATACCTACCTTACAGCAGCATGCAGATACCTACCTTACATCAGCATGCAGATACCTACCTTACAGCAGCATGCAGATACCTACCTTACAGCAGCATGCAGATACCTACCTTACAGCAGCATGCAGATACCTACCTTACAGCAGCATGCAGATACCTACCTTACAGCAGCATGCAGATACCTACCTTACATCAGCATGCAGATACCTACCTTACAGCAGCATGCAGATACCACCTTACAGCAGCATGCAGATACCTACCTTACAGCAGCATGCAGATACCACCTTACAGCAGCATGCAGATACCACCTTACAGCAGCATGCAGATACCACCTTACAGCAGCATGCAGATACCTACCTTACAGCAGCTTGCAGATACCTACCTTACAGCAGCATGCAGATACCACCTTACAGCAGCATGCAGATACCACCTTACAGCAGCATGCAGATACCTACCTTACAGCAGCTTGCAGATACCTACCTTACAGCAGCATGCAGATACCTACCTTACAGCAGCATGCAGATACCACCTTACAGCAGCATGCAGATACCTACCTTACAGCAGCATGCAGATACCTACCTTACAGCAGCATGCAGATACCACCTTACAGCAGCATGCAGATACCACCTTACAGCAGCATGCAGATACCTACCTTACAGCAGCATGCAGATACCTACCTTACAGAGGGACCATGCAGATACCACCTTACAGCAGCATGCAGATACCACCTTACAGCAGCATGCAGATACCACCTTACAGCAGCATGCAGATACCTACCTTACAGCAGCATGCAGATACCTACCTTACAGCAGCATGCAGATACCTACCTACCTTACAGCAGCATGCAGATACCTACCTTACAGCAGCATGCAGATACCTACCTTACAGCAGCATGCAGATACCTACCTACCTTACAGCAGCATGCAGATACCTACCTACCTTACAGCAGCATGCAGATACCTACCTTACAGCAGCATGCAGATACCTACCTTACAGCAGCATGCAGATACCTACCTTACAGCAGCATGCAGATACCACCTTACAGCAGCATGCAGATACCTACCTTACAGCAGCATGCAGATACCTACCTACCTTACAGCAGCATGCAGATACCTACCTTACAGCAGCATGCAGATACCTACCTTACAGCAGCATGCAGATACCTACCTTACAGCAGCATGCAGATACCTACCTTACAGCAGCATGCAGATACCACCTTACAGCAGCATGCAGATACCACCTTACAGCAGCATGCAGATACCTACCTTACAGCAGCATGCAGATACCACCTTACAGCAGCATGCAGATACCACCTTACAGCAGCATGCAGATACCTACCTTACAGCAGCATGCAGATACCTACCTTACAGCAGCATGCAGATACCTACCTTACAGCAGCATGCAGATACCTACCTTACAGCAGCATGCAGATACCTACCTTACAGCAGCATGCAGATACCTACCTTACAGCAGCATGCAGATACCTACCTACCTTACAGCAGCATGCAGATACCTACCTTACAGCAGCATGCAGATACCTACCTTACAGCAGCATGCAGATACCTACCTTACAGCAGCATGCAGATACCTACCTTACAGCAGCATGCAGATACCTACCTTACAGCAGCATGCAGATACCTACCTTACAGCAGCATGCAGATACCTACCTTACAGCAGCATGCAGATACCTACCTTACAGCAGCATGCAGATACCTACCTTACAGCAGCATGCAGATACCTACCTTACAGCAGCATGCAGATACCTACCTTACAGCAGCATGCAGATACCTACCTTACAGCAGCATGCAGATACCTACCTTACAGCAGCATGCAGATACCTACCTTACAGCAGCATGCAGATACCTACCTTACAGCAGCATGCAGATACCTACCTACCTTACAGCAGCATGCAGATACCTACCTTACAGCAGCATGCAGATACCTACCTTACAGCAGCATGCAGATACCACCTTACAGCAGCATGCAGATACCTACCTACCTTACAGCAGCATGCAGATACCTACCTTACAGCAGCTTGCAGATACCTACCTTACAGCAGCATGCAGATACCTACCTTACAGCAGCATGCAGATACCTACCTTACAGCAGCATGCAGATACCTACCTTACAGCAGCATGCAGATACCACCTTACAGCAGCATGCAGATACCTACCTTACAGCAGCTTGCAGATACCTACCTTACAGCAGCATGCAGATACCTACCTTACAGCAGCATGCAGATACCTACCTTACAGCAGCATGCAGATACCACCTTACAGCAGCATGCAGATACCTACCTTACAGCAGCATTCAGATACCTACCTTACAGAGGGACCATGCAGTGGACCATGCTGTGGAGTTATTTCCATTACAGTACTAGGATCCAGGGTCCCATTCCTCAAAGTGATCTTAGCGCTAACTTTATCGTAAGTCTCTACTTTAACATAGGCTTACGATCATAGTGCTAAGATCGCTTTGAGGAACGGGGCCAAGGGTTTTACCTTGACTTACAAAAGTGCGGGTCCAGGAAGCTTAATAATTAATTTTAAGGGTCCCTGCAGGCAATATGAGGGTCCTGTAAAGTAATAAAATGGTATCATGTACTGTACATTTTGACAAATTCATCAGAACCTGGAATGAATCAAAGATCATGTGGACAGGGGCCATGATTGATGGATGAAATGACATCGATCACTGCGCTTTATGGGCTGTAGATACAATGTATATTTTTGTGAGTCCCAGGAGATGCATGTGTATTCTGTTTCTGCTTCCATTCTCTACATGTTTGTGTACTGGAGGCACACTTGTGCGGCTTGTAAAACCCTGAAGGATTCATTGTTTGTGGTTCGAATCCCAGATGTGTCTCTGTCTCACCGGATCATTGGTGGACCATTTACTACAGCAACTTGCCTTACTGAGATACTTTCCATTATAGTACAAGGATTCATTGTTTGTGGTTCGAATCCAGACTTGATTATGATCCTTAAATGTGGATCAAGTCTTTGTGGGGATTGAAATTATACCCAAAGTGGAGACTTAACTCAATCACCCACTTGAATGGGTCATGGCATAAAAGGCAACTCAAATGTTGTAAAAAGATTTCAGTGTATTCAAGAAGTTCATGGATACAATTAATTTAAACCGCAAACTGTCATCGAGTTCTCTTCCTGGACTATTCCACAAAGATATCTTAGCACAACTACCATCTTAGGTCAATGTTAAACTATGAATCCTGAACCACAAACTGTCATTTAGTTCTCTTCCTGGACCATTCCAAAAAGATATCTTAGCGTGATCATAAAACCCCTATGGTGAGTATTGAGTTAATGCTGCGCAGCATCATGCAACAAACTTGTTATGCAGTGATCCATTCATGTAATTTCCATTGTGATTTTGCCACTATTTACGCCCAGTAGAACAATGAAATCTGTTTCAGCAGATAATCAAGACTGCTTTTTATCTGGCGTTGACATTTTCACATATTGCGATCATCATAGCGCCAAGATCCCATTGGAATGGCCTTGTACTGTAACTATTGGAATATTTTGCCTGTTTCAGTGCCCCCCTGTGGCAGTGGCTATTGCCAGACAGAAGATGGAGGGCAAGTCCTTCTCCAACGCCAACAGTGTAGAGTTCCCTATTGTGGAGGTCAGCGACACCATGGGATGGGACTCAGGGCCGGTCAAGAGAGAGGTCAAGCTGCTGCAGTGGAACTGGGCTGGACAAGGTGACACTTTGGGATTTGGGGGTAAAACCTTCTCAGAAGGCAGGTCAGGATTCCTAACTTGGGAAGGGTGGGTGTGGAGGGAGGATGGACGTCATGACTGATGAAGATGGTGGAGAAGATGGTGGTAAAACGTGTTCAGAAGGCGAGTCAGGATTCCTAACTTGGGAAGGGTGGGTGTGGAGTGAGGATGGGCGTCATGACTGATGAAGATGCCCTAAGCTGTTGCTTTGTATACAGCTTCCAAAAATGAAATTATACTGACTTTGCCAACAGATGTACTTGATATTTGAAATTTATAGTAATGATTTAATAATAGCACCAGATGTTGGTATGTTCTGTGACATGAGTGAGCAGAATGTTTTAACACTGGAGTCTTGATTAATCCAGGTGTATGACAGTGACTAGTAAATAATTGAGTCAGGACAAGACAAACTAGTGGTTGATATTATGAACAACATGCTACTTAGTCATGGACAATAGAAGTTGTAGCAGGATCATGATGGATACATGGGGTTTAATGCGTTCCGCGTTAGGCTTTATACCACGAGCCAGACGCCAGAGGAATTTATCTGACCGACATATTTTAATCTGCTTTTAAAACAACTTCAGAATTGATAGAAAACAGCTGTTTGATTGAGCTGAGGTTAATTTGTGCTATGTCTCGTGACTTTCATTGACTCGGAAAAAGCATGGGGCATGTTGCTTTGAAGCGGGATTTACTATCCCACTGAGAAGTCCATGTGCAGCCTGTTTTCTTCGTGGCAGGGTATAAGAGATTTATTCTCACTCTCAAAAATTTATTTCTTATATTCTGACATGGAGGTATGGTAATCTCATTAATTTACTCTCTGTGTGAACATTTGATGACACCTCAAACAGGTCGTGTCAGGTGAACCCTTAGCTTACTTTGACAACATAATCTAAAGAAATGGAATTGTGGGTTCTTGGGGGAATCAGTTTCTAAAATGTTTTCTTCATTTCTTTACCATCTCTATTGGGAAATTTCAATGTTTGCAAAACAAAAACATCACAGAACAAAATTATCCCTTGATGCCACCCTCTTGGGTGTAGGAGCCATGGACGCTCAGAAACGATACGATGTATTAAATACCTACCACACTGAAATAGTGAAGCTTTACTTTTTGTATTTTGAACTCTCTGATTATGTTCGTTTTTTGAGGTGCAGAAATAAGATATGGTTGTGTGAATGCTTTGCTCATTTGTAATGAGAATTAGAATCCTGGACAAATATTGGCTGATGGGAGAGTTCACCTGATGTGACCTCATGGAGGTGTCCTCAGATCTCCATTCAGAGAGGTATCATGTCAGAGTAAAAGATCTTATTTTAATGAGATTGTCAACCAAATCACTGACACTGACTAACCAATTCATTTAAATGCCACTTATGACAAGCATAGGTTGCTGGGGACCAGTGCTAACACAGAATCTGATTGAGCATGCACTAAAGTTGAAAGTATGGACGTAACTGAGAAATGAATAACATAATGGATTTATGTTTAAAGGGAAGTTTGTGAAATGAAACTTTACATGGAAACAATATGGGTTCTGGTTCAGGCAAATTCAATCTCATGAAAATCAGACCTTATATAGTTCTCACTGCCGCTATTTCAAAATGAGGTTAATCTGTTTTAAGCAAATTGACTACAATAATTTTCATAGAGTGCAAATAAATTATTACCCTTTTTTATCACTCTCCTACCTTGTAGGATTTTGACTCTATTTCAGATGACTTTGTGACCTATATCCCACACTCAGAGTGAGAATGGTCATACATTCACTTGCAGTGTATAAAGTCAAAATGGCCGACTGATGAACAATGCAACAGGAGACATATTGTCAGTCAACATGTTGTTACCATATATGGATACCGAATTGAAGCCATATCGAATCAAGCCACGATGAAGTGATTCTAACATCCTGGTAATTGTAATTTTCCAAACCAATCAAGGCAAGACGTCATGCTGAACCAAACCACACAACATGATCGTGACTTGGTTCTGTGGGACTTCAACGTATCCGTGTATAGTATTCATTGCTGAGTTGATTACATCATTTCTAGTGTAAATCGTGTCATTCATACACTAGTGGACATCAGTTTCACGGCCATAAAACCAGTCTCTTTCACAATAGTTTATGCAACACTATTTATACCTTCATCAATTTTTTTAGATATTTTTTTCCATTTAATATTTAAAACTAAATTTATTAAATTATAATTGAATTGCAAGTGAACTAGATTTGTGCAACTATATATAGGCTGTTCCCTGCCTGAATTTAGAATTTAGACTTTCGATAAGTGAAAGTTGCCAGTAATCTCGATTTATCTCTGGTCACAAGTGGATGAAATGAAGTTCCAATAGTCAAACTCCAATAAGCAGTTGCCAACTATTTATGCATCCAACATTTTTATGCACAAAAATTTATTTTATATTACAAATACCAAAAAGCTTTTTAAATATATCCAGTTGTTTTTGTGGCAAATTACAAATTTTAAACATGAGTGAGTATATTTTGATGCACTCAGTTAAATGAATTTGTCTGCCTGTTTCTTTTGAATGTACATTTACTTTTAGCTCACTTGGACATCGTCAATGTGGGCTTATGTTGTGGGTGATTGCTGTCTGCCTGGTGGCAATGAGACTTCAATCTCTTCCTTTGCAAATCGACAGCCTCCAGGGACTAATGGTTGAGCATCTGCCCGGAGAGCGGAATGTCCGGGGTTTGATCCCCGGCAGCGTCATACTTGAAGACATTAAACAATGGTACTTGTTGTTACCCTGTTTGGCACTCGGCATTAAGGGGCTAACACTAGGACTGGTTGGCTCGGAGTCTGTATACTGTGCCTGTGTGGGTTTTTCATGTTACACTGCAGCATGGTATTTCAGTACGCTATCTCTCTAACCACGCACGCACGCTGCCTTAGACTATTCTAGTCTCACCCATTATCAACATTTGACCTCAATCACTCTAAGATCGCTCCCAGACTTCATAGCCAAGAATCAATCTACCATTATGGGACTGTTGGGCCATGGACACTGTACAATTCCTGCATTAGGACCAACAGAGGATCACCCAGACAGACTCTTATGTCCCATCAGAGCTCTCAAGTTCTATCTTGCGGCAACAGACCCACATAGACGCCATCGAAAGAGACTCTTCTTACCTTGTAAGACTAATTCAAACAAGGACATCACCAAGGCTACAATAGCAGGCTAGCTAAAAGCTACAGTTGCCTCAAGTTATACACAGGCTCAGAATTCCACGTCACGTCTCGGATCAAGCTCAGCTCACGAAATCAGAGAGCCCTAGCCAAGAGTCTTGCTTCATGGACATGTCTCAGGAGAGCAAGTAGTTTCTAACTGTCAATGGGCCTCACAAAACACCTTCTCCATCTTTTACTTGTGTGATGTGTCGCCAGACTTACAGGACATATGTTCCCTTGGTCTGGTTGTTGCAGAGCAAACTATCGTCTAGCAATAGTTTTACCTCTTCTATAAAGAAAAAGGGGGGGGATCAGACACCAGCAGTATCACCCTTGATTGTTCTGTCTATTAGGTGAAGGATGGATTAGTAGCACCTTGAATACCAACTGTCTCCATTAGACCGGACGTGACGTCAGCACCAGAAGCGTGACCCTTACCGGAGGTGACGTCAGCACCAGATATAGCCGAACAGGGTCCATCTAATCAGGAAATAACGTCTTGGGGTAGAAATAGACCTATAGAGACATCATTACATGGAAAAGGGGAAGTGACATACCGGAAGTGACGTCAGCACCAGATATAGCCGAACAGGGTCCATCTAATCAGGAAATAACGTCTTGGGGTAGAAATAGACCTAGAGAGACATCATTACATGGAAAAGGGGAAGTGACATACCGGAAGTGACGTCATCACCAGTATTAAGGTCACAAAATCCGAGATGAAGTTATTAAGCAGAAATAGATTAGAAATGACATCATTATCACAATCAAGATCAGCAAATGTCATGGTAATTTGAATGAAGATCTCACATATTTGACTGATTCTTGACACATTTCTGATTTTCAAGTCCTCAAGACAATCTGAAAGTTTTTGTCAGTGTGACTGAAGCCAAAATACAGGATTTATGGCAGAGATGTAATAGAGGTAGTGTTCTTAGAATTATTAACAATGATAACTATTGTTCTATAAATATATAATATGAAATGCAAAGATATGTTCAGTCATTATTGTTAGATACCAAATATGACATGCCAGCATTTGTGACTAACAATATTTATTTCATTTTTTTTATATTGTTTATTCAGTCTCCATATTGATCCAGGCCAACACCTGTTCCCTGTCTGCCTACATCAGACAAAGCACATGCAATATTCATGTTATCTTTATTGCTCTTGAACATTGGACACTGTTTTGAAAGCTACTTGGAATCTATTCCATGATGATTTCAATGCATGGAAATTATATTCACCTGCCATCATTTGGAATATACAGTATCTATTTTTGGTTCATTTATTATTAAATCCCCTTTTTTGATTCAAATCTACAGCTGTTTCCTTTATACTCCAATCATGCAAAAATCATGTATTCGTATAATCTCCATTGCCTTTTGGTATTGGAAACTCGTTTGACTTCTGTTTACGCGGATTATGCTCCTAGGTTTGTCAGCAATAGACCTGTATATTCAACAACGTGTAGACTGTCATACAGATCCAGAAACAAATATATTCAATACACCCCATGCAAGTCTATAATGTTTGGCAAGTCTAGATTACTGCAGTATCATCTGAAAATGAAGAAAGTCTCTGGGATCCTTTTTATTATGTTTTATAACTATAATTTGACAACTGTTGTTTTTGTTAAAATATGTTCATTTCAGAGACTAGATGTTAGTTGAAACAAAGTGGTAAAGGTCTAAGTGCTGCATCACTTTTAACCTCCTTCACACATCAAGCTGACATGCTGCGATATGAGTGGGACGATGTTCAAAGGAGGCGTTGAACTCACTATTGACATGCACTTGTTCTTGATAACACCAGCCCAGTCATCTAAGACGCCGTGATTGGCTGTGCAGAGTTGCGTCCCTTGGATATGCCATTAACCTATGATTGTGGGTTCGAATCCCGGTTCGCCTCGATAATGTTTCTAGGTTTGTCAGCACCATACCCGTGTTCGTGGGTTTCACCGAAGTGGTAAACGTCTGAGATCTGCATCACTTCGGGCTTTCCTCCAACATTAAGCTGGCACACCGTGATATTGCTAGAATATTGTTAAAAGCGGCAATAAACCCGACACACTCACTCTTGATAACACCTAGTTTCTCATCTTGTGTATTTACATCAGTCTTTTCTTGGAAAAATGGAATGAAATTACTGGAATATAATTTCCTGAAAAATATTTCAACTTCATTGACAGGTTGTACCCACTTTAAATAACCTGCATATGAATACCGAAAATTGTTGAATTTGTAATGTAGCTTTCTGACATCTTTGATGGAGATTACAAAGGTGTCTGCCGGTTGTATCCTTCCTTCGAATTGACCCAACAGTAATTGCCTTTGGTGTGACAAGCCAAGAAGTTGAGGAATTGATAGATGGTTCTTAAAAGCAAACCAAAGGCCTTTGACAGAATGAAGCTTTTGATAATCATTGTTATGTTGTGTTGTCATGGTGTTTGAGCTGAGATGAAGTTCTGCTTCTTTAATGTGTGTCAGGGTTGTTTAGGATACTGGTCGGTCACTGGGAATCTGTACCCTACAATTCCTGTCAGAAATATGTCCTGCCAAATCCTGCCAGGGCTGTCAGAGCTTAGAGCTAAACTTAGGACTGTCCTCTGAATTGACTTGTTAGTAGGAGTGTAACGTTGGTTGGTTGCTTGTTTAACGCCGCACTCAGCAATATTCCAGCTATATGACGGCGGTCTGTAAATAATCAAGTCTGGACCAAACAATCCAGTGATTGATATCATGAGCATCGATCCACACAATTGGGATCAATAACATGCATCAACCAAGTCAGCGAGCCTGACCACCTGATCCCGTTAGTCGCCTTTTACGACAAGCATAGTCGCCTTTTACGGCAAGCATGCTGAAGACCTATTCTAACCCGGATCTTCACGGGTCAGGAGTGTAGCGATTGATCCCATTATCAGTTAACCAGGTGTTTGCAAAAGGGTGAGCGTATCCTGCACCACCGGTGACACCTGTCACAAGTCAAATGTTCACTGGAGAAAAAAATATGGAATCATAGGACAAATCTAAACGGAATTGCATCAGACATCCGGAAGCCTTTGGGGCAAGATACACTAACCTTTTCGTGAACATGTGGTATCATCACTACACAGGGGCGGTCGGGTAGCCTAGTGGTTAAAGCGTTCGCTCGTCACGCCGAAGACCCTGGTTCGATTCCCGACATGGGTACAATGTGTGAAGCCCATTTCTGGTGTCCCCCGCCCTGATATTGCTGGAATATTGCTAAAAGCGTGTAAAACCATACTCAGTCAGTCAGTCATCACTACACAATATTGATTCATAAACACATTTGGAATTGTACAAATGGACTCTGCTCAGCACAGGTTTCTTAAGATCATGGAAATATTTTTTGTCGCTATTAAGGATGACATTCCTTGACATGACTGACATACCTGTCAAAGTGGCTATTACAATTTAATTATCAGGGTACAAATTCTTGAAACACATGCTTGTTGTAAGGGGAGACTAACAGGATCAGGTTGTCAGACTCACTGACTGGTTTGATGCATGTCTTTGTATCCCTATTGCATAGATATATCACTGGATATTGCTGAGTGCGGTGTTAAACAACAAACAAACAGTGAGTTTGAAAATGGATCATAAGTATTTTTCTTCATAGCACACTAAAATTCCCAAGAGGACACAGGCCTCAACATGTTTGCGAAAAATACTCTTGCAAAAATACATTTATCTCCCAGGTGATGGGAACTAAATGACCACTTTCTAACTGCGGGCGACTAACTGGATCAGGTGGTCAGGCTCGCTGACTTGGTTGATGCATGTCATCGTATACCAATTGCGTGGATCAATGCTCATAATGTCAATCACTGGATTGTCTGGTCCCGATTCGATTATTTACAGGCTGCCGTCAAATAGCTGGAATATTGCTGAGTGCGGCGCTTAACAAACAAACAAATTCAAGCTGCAATGAGAAGCTAATCTTCAAGTGACCACATTCATCGTCGGCATTCACTAGCTTGGATTTTGTTGTCTTCTGATGTCACAACTCACAAGTATAACTTTTCATGTTTCATTGAACAGCAGTCACAAAGTGATTTGATGCCATGCATGCATTTCAAGCCTTTAAAAAGTCGCTACTGTTTCTTACTGATATACTGAAACATTTGGGATCTTGAAGATTTTTTAGGATATTTTCCTTCTTGTTAAGACTAAGCACACAATTGCATAAAAATATCCCATAATATCTTCATGATCATTTTTGTTCAGCATACATTTGGTGAAATTCAACAGTATGTCTATTTGTTCATTCAACCAGAATTGGCAGCTGGGTGGTGTTCTTGATGCTTGTTTGTTCATGTGATCCATTTCACGTGCATTCAGAAAGTTTAAGGACAGTGTATCATCCTTTCGATATCATGATTTAGTTTCACACCGTTCAAAGGATGAAAACCTTTTCAATATCACTATATAGCAGTTGACTACACATGTGTTTTTTGTGAATGTGATGATGGAGTTATTGACCCTAAAACTGGTGTTTGAGGAGGGAGTATTACTGATAAAATAATGTTCACTGTCATTTTTTCAAATCATTACATTTAGAGTACAGATGGGTGGAGTCACAATGTTGCTCACTATGATTTGCATTATAAGGAATTTAGACTTTCAGACCTGTTATTTCAGAGGTTGCAATTCTCTCTGCAGAGTTGTGTCCCTCAGGTATGTCAGGATCCAGTGATCATGGTTCAATTCCGAGATGTGCCCTGATTATAACCCTTGGCTTGTCAGCATTAGGCTAAAAAAATATTCTTGGTTCTCAGGCACTGCCGACATCATCATAAAGTCTGCCCGTATGTTTCGTTATTATTTCCATTTTAAAAAAAATATAAAAATCACAATACTTATACACAATGCGATTCATTATAGCCCGCAGTTACTTCCCTTTACATGCACACTGCTTTAAAGTGCATATCTAGTTATGGTAATGACGGCAATAGGAGTTTGTATGCTTGTTTATGTAGGGAGGTTCTTCCCAGGTTGATGGAACACAACAGTTTATTTTGTTACTAGTTTGAACAAGCAAAAAAAACACTGCCAGCTTGCACTATATTTCATTGCCTGAGAACCTGTTCTTTTATTTTTTTAAGCCTTAAACTTCACTCCTACATGAAACAGACATGCCTAGATATAACAGAGTGTTCAAAGCAGCATTAAACTCATTGCACTCACTCACTCACTCATTTAAAAAAAATATTTCTTCCTGTTCCCAGGGGCTCAGATAACATCTAAGTCTGGTGTGCTGGTGGAGTTCTCAGAACTGGCGTTCCACCTGCGTTCCCCTGGTGATCTGAATCAGGAGGAAATGGATAACATTGTGGATTTTCTACACAAGAGAGTTACGCGTCAAGAAGGGACTGAACTCTACCAGCTCAATCTGCTTTACAACTCACTCAGAAGGTAAAAACGAATACCGGTACTGAAATCATTTGAAATTGCTTCTAGATTTGTCAGCAACATACCCATGCTCGTGGGTTTTATGAAAGAGGTGACATCTAAGACCTGCATCAATTTGGGCTGAGCCTCCCACATCAAACTGACATGCCATGAAATGGAATACTGTTTAAAGCAGCGTTAAACTCAACTCACTCACTCACTCACTCACTCACACATGGGTTTCATCAAAATGTCACTTTTGGTTTCCTCACATAATAAGATGCCATGCTATGATATAAGGTTGTTGGTATTTTTTTCCATGTTTTCCATCTCCACCAGCCCTGAATTTTCATTCTGATGTGAAAAAATAAAAAGATTTCTCATCTCAATTTTACCGCCACTGTGAAAATTTATGCCCTGATGTGATAAGAAAAATATCCTACAATTGCACACTGAAAAAACAGGTCAGTTTGATCTTTTTTCAGCTATATTTACTAAAAATTTGCTTCCAAAGGAAAGCGACTCGATCAACAACATAAATGAATTTGTGGGCTGTTGCAAGGTGTTCTTCACTTTAAAATTTCATAAAATAAGTAACACAATTCATGAAAAACATTTTTTTTTAAATTTTTTTTTTTTTTTTTAATTTCACCCTCCTGCTATTGTGCTGGTTGAGGCTGGTGATGAGAAACATAAAAAAAATAGGGATGGCCAAACTGAAGTACTCAGTGTCATGGCTGATTGCGTGCCATCGTAACCCAGCAGCGTTGGTCATTGCTCACAGTATCATCCACAGATATGTCTGGTACAGATGGTGATATTTATGGGCAATTTTGATCTAGTTGGAATATTGCTGATTGCGGCGTCAAACAACGTCAATTGACTTACTCTCTTGTTATGTACAGTTGTGCCCACAAGAGCTACTGGATGTGTGCGGACGAGGCCAACATTAACAAGAGTGACAAGCTCAGACAGTTGATGGAGAATTTCTTTGAGGATAAGAAGTCAGCACTGAGTAGGATGGAGGAAGAGGAATCCGAGTCTGACCAGGTAGGTCACAGGTTGAAGGTCAAAAGTCAGACAAGGTAGGTCACTGGTTGAAGGTGAGAAGTCGGACCGGGTAGGTCACAGGTTAAGGTCAGAAGTCAGACAAGGTAGGTCACTGGTTTAAGGTGAGAAGTCGGACCGGGTAGGTCACAGGTTGAAGTTCAGAAGTCAGACAAAGTAGGTCACAGGTTGAAGGTCAGAAGTCAGACAAGGTAGGTCACTGGTTAAAGGTAAGGAGTCTGACCAGGTAGGTTACAGGTTGAAGGTCAGAAGTTTGGGTAGGTCAAAGGGGGTAGGTCAAAGGTTGAAGGTCAGAATTCAGACCGTGTTGGTCACTGGTTTAAGGTCAGAAGTCGGACCGGGTAGATCACAGGTTGAAGATCAGAAGTCAGACAAGGTAGGTCACTGGTTAAAGATCAGAAGTCGGACCGGGTAGGTCACAGGTTGAAGGTCAGACGTCAGACAATGTCAAAGGGGGTAGGTCAAACGTTGAAAGTCAGAAGTCGGACCAGGTAGGTCACTGGTTAAAGGTCAGAAGTCTGACAAGGTAGGTCACTGGTTCAAGGTCAGAAGCCTGACCAGGTAGGCTACAGGTTCAAGGTCAGAAGTTTGGGTAGGTCAAAGGGTGATGGTAAGACATCAGCAGCATGTCAGATAGCTAGGTTAGAGGAAGGTCAAAGGTTGGAGTAAAAGTTCAAAAGGACATGAAATATTGGTATACGTGATGCTGACAGCAAAGTTAGAGTTCAGACTTCGAGGGAGATGCTGACATATGGCTTGCAAATAGCTCGTTCAAATGTTGGAAGTAAGGGCGCGACACCACGAGGTAGGAATACTGACGTTAGTCTTGTTGAAAGCAAAGTCAGTAATTAACATGATGAGAAAAAAGGCAATATTGATCAAGTTTAGTTCAGATTTTCAGAAGAATTAATGTATTAGGCAGGTAGGTGAAGGTTCAGGAATAGAAGCAGTCCATGAAGTCCTCCCCCAAGGTTGTAAGATGTAAGGTTACATGACCTAAACAAGTCATGACCTAAGTAGTGGAAGTCCCTTACACAGCATAAGTGTCATGACTACCAGTGAGGACGTACATGTCGAAAAACCCTGTGATGCCAAAAATTGCACAGTAATGTAAGCCTTGTTTTAGGAATAAGATGCAATTGATATGAAGTAGTTGATGGCTGGCTACCTTGAGAAGGAATGTGATTGAGATGAGGGATGCTGCTGTGGAAGGTGGAGGTCATTGTTCAGTTGACATTAGCTTTTGGTTACATGTGAAAGAGTAAGCCAGCTTCTGGGTTGTGTTTTGTATTAAAATTTGCAGACTCAATCAAACTAAGCCAGGTCTGAATTTTGGTTTGGTTTCTTTTTTTTTACATGATTTGAATAGTAAGTTTCCAGATTCTTAAGCCTCAATAGATTTGATATCAAAAGACAATCAGTAAGATTCTCTAAACACATCGGGGGCACAGGTGGCCCAATCGTCTAAGGCGCTGCGATTCACTTTGCAGAGTTGAGTCCCTTGCACACGCCAGAAACCTATGATTGTGGGATCGAATCCCGGTTCGCCCCGATTATGTTTCTAGGTTTGTCAGCACCATACCCATGCTTGTGGGATTCACCGAAGTGGTAAACTTCAGAGACCTGCATCACTTCGGGCTTTCCTCCAACATTAAGCTGACTCGCTGCAATATAACTGGAATACTGTTAAAAGCGGTGTAAAACCCAACTCACTCACTCTCTAAACACATGGTTAGTGTATTCCTATGTCTCTTCAGATCCTGTGTCCCCGAGATCTTGATCAGGTGATCGTGGATGCACGTCAGTTCATCACTTTGTATGGACAGGAGCACAACCTCACAGGGAGATCTATAGCCCGTGTGTTCCACGGAATTGGCAGCCCCTGTTTCCCCATCGCAACCTGGTGCCGCGTCCGAAGGTTCTGGAGGAGTCATCTGCATGTCAACTTCAACGTGTGTCTCAAAGCAGCTACCAGGGAACTTGTCAGGATGAGGTGATGACTGGATGTTCTGGAGGAGTCTTCTTCGCGTCAACAGCAACATGTCTCAAAACATCCACCAGGGAACTTGAACACTGCAAGTGGCTATTGGATTATTTTGAGATCTTTTAGAAACATCAGATTATACCTAATGTATGTATTTGAACATTTTAGTCATTAACATTCATTTTGGTTCTGTTAAAGTCTGCTTGTATGTCTGATAACTCAATGTATAAAAAGTTAAAACATTATCTAAATAAATATTTTTAAAGTTTCCATTTTCACTTTTATTTTTTTAGATCACATTAACATAAATAATTGTATTGTTTTCCTTGTGGCGCCACAAGGTCCAGTGTATATAAGCACAGGTAACAAGCCAATGTTAACACTGACATGGACCCGTGAAGGTCCGGGGTAGAATAGGTCTTCAGCAACCCATACTTGCCATAAAGGCGACTATGCTTGTCATAAGAGGCGACTAACGGGATATAGTGGTCAGACTCGCTGACTTGGTTTGCTATATGTCATTGTATCCCAATTGCGTGGATTGATGCTCATGATGTCAATGACTGGATTGTCTGGTCCAGACTCATTATTTACAGACCGCCGTCATATAGGTTGAATATTGCTGAGTGCGGCATTAAAAAACAAACAAACAAAATAACACTGACATGAGTAGCCAAACTTGAGGGTGTTTTTGGCTTCAGTGTCTGCTCAATACTGAAAGATGGTGTCTCTTGGCCACAGAAAATGGTCCCCAGTAGTATGAGTTGGGTTTTATGCCCCTTTGAACAATATTTTCAGTTATATCGCAGTGTGTCAGCTTGATGTGTGAGGAAAGAAAGAAAGATGCAGGTCTTAGGCTTTTACCAGTTTAGTCAAAACCATCAAACACTGGTATGGTGCTGACAAACCTAGAAACATGATCAGAATGTATCTTGGATTCAAACCCACAATCATAGGTTTCTGTATTGCCAAGGGGGTGCACATTGCATTGCCAAAGATGACTGGGCCTCCATCCCCTAATCTCATCCCCAGTAGCTGGATGTGGTAATGTGGACACCTAGCCAGATTGCCCCGGGCATCATATGCTGATGTAGAGAAGATTGAAGGGGGGGCACGTCACCCTACTATGAAGCATACTTATCATATTGAGGTGACCCATGAAGATTCCGGGGAAGAATAGGTCTTCAGCAACCCATGCTTGCCGTAAAAGGTGACTATGCTTGTCGTTAAAGGCGACTAACGGGATAGGGTGGTCAGGCTCGCTGACTTGGTTGATGCATGTCATCGATCTCAATTGCGTGGATCGATGCTCATGATATCAATCACTGGATTGTCTGTTCCAGACTCGATTATTTACAGACCGCCGTCATATAGCTGGAATATTGCTGAGTGCGGCGTTAAACAACAAACCAACCAACCAACCATATTGAGGTATTGAAAAACATGAATAAATCATTTTGCTGACACGTTTTCATAAAAAATAACTTATTGACTAACTGTTTGGGCTTATAAATGCAAATTATTACCCGATTAAATCAGAGTGATTTCCATTCTTTTTTGTTCCTTTTTCGAAATCTGCACACCCACTCTATTAAAAAAAACTGTATCAGAACTTAGGAATGCTAACTGATCGGTTACCTAGGATAATAATGTCGTGCCCTAAGTATGTCCCTCCATGGTCTTCTGGTAGAGCTCCCGCCCAGAGAGTGGAAAGTCCAGGGTCCGATCACTGGCTGCGTCATACCCAAAAAAGATGGTACTTGTTGTTACCCTGCCTGACATGGGGCTAAAAGAAGGACTGGTTGGTTTGGAGTCAGTACACTGTGTCTGAGTGGGGCATTTGTGTTAAACTGCGTATCTCAGTGGGCTAGCACTATTAACTTTTCATTAGTCCGGACTAGTGCTCGCACGTACACATGCACACACGCACACACCCACGCATCCACCCATGCATGCATGCACCTATCACCCACGTGATGTCCATTTCACGCCACCTCTCCTTGTGGTGTGAGTTTTTTAAGTGACATTTTGTTATGATGTTTTGGACAAAAGAGGGCCACATAAGATTCATCAGGCTAGAGTGTATGTACTCTTGCTTTCAGGACTGCTTCAGGGTGAGTGAGTGAGTCAACATTGTTTATGTCACAGTCAATAATATAATAGCTGTGTCATGATGACTGGTAAATAATCAAGTCTGAGCGAGTGGAAGATAGCAAAAGCAAAGGTTCAAGGTCCAGGTATGATGACACACAATCAACCAGGTCATGTATTGGGACCACATTATCCCCATGACACCCTGGTTCCACCATGGGTTATTTTATAAAGACTGTATATACAGTGGTGGAACTGGCCAAACCATGAAAGAAAGGTCACTGGAAGATCATAATTCCTTTAAGAATGTTAAGAGTTGTCTTCCCTTGACATGAACTGAACTCCAGATGAAAGACCTGTCCACTTCAATCTCATTAAAATCAGATCTTAGTTCTCGCTACCGCTAAACAAAGATCTGAGGACATCCCATTAGGGATCATGTCAGGCCAACCTTGCGTGAACATTTACCGACCAGTGGAATGACCAGTTTTCTTGTGCTTTACGTCACTAATTTCAAATGGGGGACTACGCTTCGAAACATATTTTTGACAAATTCTCGATTACAAATTTGAAACCTGAACAAAAGAACATTCTGGAATGGCTTATAGATGGCCTAGATTGTATGGATTCAGTTGTTAAACCCGCAACTATCGTTTGGAATACCCTTTGTTAAAGTTTTCAAGGTTGCATGATTAGAAATCACATTCCGACTGTCACTTTCATAACCAGGTAAGCGCCGCTCTGATTGGTCAGTTGAAAGGTTGTTCTGACACGACCCCCGTATGGGATGTCTTCCTATCTTTGTTTAGCGGTAGCGAGTACCGAGGTCTGATTTGAATGAGATTGTGTCCACTTGGTTTGACATAGAACCAAGGAACCAATGATGTTAATCACTGGATTGTCTGATCTAGAGGTGATTATTTTACAGACCCTGTCATATAGCTGGAATATTGCTCAATGGGGGCAAAACAAACAAAACCTAAGAGTCTAGTGAGGAAGGACTTTATATTCACAGAAAGTATTTGATACAAGTGGACTTAATACCATATAGATTCTCAAAAACTCAGAGGATTTGCTTGAAGTTTTGAAATCTCAGAAAAGAACTAAAGTTCTATTCTTTCCAAAAATTTGATTTTTTAACATGTATGCAACAAAAATTTCCTTGATCGATGAGTGAGTGAGTGAGTATGGATTTACAATATTCCAGCAATATCACGTCAGGGGACACTAGAAATAAGCTTCACACATTGTTCCCATGTCGGGAATGGAACCCGGGTCTTCGGCATGACGAGCGAATGCTTTAACCACTTAGCTACCCGACCGCCCCCTTGATCCATGAGACATTGTCACAGGACCTGGTGGCCACAGATACAGTCCTTGCCTGCCAAGTAGGAAGTAGGCATCGACATGCGAAGGAGCATTGCTGTCTTCATCCATATAAATCGAACTTTCCGCTTGGATTGGCAAAATCAAGACAGGAATTTGGCCAAGAAGTGTACCCTAAAATTGAGGTATATTGATGATCTATAATTGAGGTATATTGATGATCTATAATTGAGGTATATTGATGATCTATAATTGAGGTATATTGATGATCTATAATTGAGGTATAATGATGATCTGATATTGTTCAATAATGGTCAAAAAGCAAATTCCCTTGCACTGATTTGACCGCATCCATGGTCTAGTGGTAGAGCCTCTGCCCAGAGAGCGGAAGGGCAGGGTTCCATCCCCGGCCTCGTCATACCAAAAGATGGTACTTGTGGTTACCCTGCCTGGTGCTCAGCATGATGGGACTAAAACAAGGACTGGTTGGCAACAATACACATACACACAGTGCATGCATGTCTATATAAGTGCAGTAATCGTGGACGCAACTTTAACCCTATTTTACCTCACCTCACCTTGCACTGATTTGTCCACCTGAACTTGAAATAAAAATGACTCTGCCTCACCTGCTTCATATTTAGAGCTATGCATAATAATGAGAATGACAACAAAGTATCCATAAGACAGTTCTACAAGAGCGATGACGTAATCTTTGTATGTCAAGCAATAATCCAGCAGTTGCAGCCTTTAGTTTCACAACTTCAAACAAGCATGCTCTTTTTACAAAGATTTCAAAGAGAATAAAACAACTCATGTTAAAAAAACAGGGTTACCACTTTCAAAGGCTTAGTGAAGCTTTCAAAAGGTTATATGGGGGCTATTTCCCAATTTGACGCACCAGTGACCAAAATGATGAAATTCCTTAATTTGACTTTTACATGAACCACGTGTTCCCTGGTTTGTTCAGGTGAACACTTGCCTTGCCTTGCCTTTGCATGTGTTTGTGACTGGTTCCATCGGTGAGGCAGGATATGCTTACCATTTTGTGATCGCCTGGTGCCATCATTAAATTGTGATAGTGATTCATGAACAAATGCTGAAAACAGATGCTAATGGACTTTTCTTTTAGCACGGATTTCACATGATTTGGTTGGTTGGTTGGTTGTTTAACGCAGCACTCAGCAATATTACAGCTATATAATGGTGGTTTGTAAATAATCAAGTCTAGACCAGACAATCAAGTGATTGATATGAACATCGGTCCACACAATTGGGGTCGATGACATGCATCAACCAAGTCAGCAGCTGACCACCCGATCCCGTTAGTCGCCTCTTACCACAAGCATAGTCGCCTTTTACAGCAAGCATGGGTTGCTGAAGACCTATTCTACCCCGATCTTCATGAGTCGGATTTCTCATGATTATGGAAATCGTTTTGTCGCTTATATTTATCTTGATATCACTGCACTGGTTTGCCAATTACTTACATTCACGTTTTATATATGTGGAATACAACGAAACAAACACTAAGAAACATGACAGGATGAACTGTTAAAGCAGGTTCGCACGATCATAGGTTACTGGCATGCCCAAGGGACACAACTCTGGTCATTGGTGCCCGAAAAACAAAACGTGAATATATTTGATATAGCTGGAATAGTGTTGACTGCTTAACATATTTGCTAACTAAAATAGTTAATATATAACGTCAATACCTGAGAATAACAAGTCTCGATTGACGCCGATCAGTCCTTAGGCGCAAAAGATCAAATAGCGGTGAAAATTATATGAATAGAATATCAGTGCTGACACCAGGGTCCACTTGCACAGAGCGATCTTAGCGCTAAG